GACACGCATTTCTGCCAGTAGAAGGCACTCAAACTCGTGTTTCTTAGAAACGCCTCGTGACGTGGCCTAGTGACGTGCGTGAGCCTTGAGGCGGAATTAAAGGGCTATCTTACCGTGGCTCGTTGGTCTAGGGGTATGATTCTCGCTTAGGGTGCGAGAGGTCCCGGGTTCAAATCCCGGACGAGCCCACCTTTGTTTGCTTCCGGTAATTTATTTAAAATACATGTGCTATCGCATTTTGTTCTCTCTACTCTTTGAAAAGTTGCGGCAGTGGACCCTTAGGGATGAGAAATGGTAAAGTTACGGAGAACTATGAGTTGTTTTTGAATTCTGTCTGATGATCCGATTCCCCACGTTCCTGGCTGGCAGGCTGACGTGGCAGCTCCGAGAGCCTAAGTCTCTAGACCTCGCAGTGCATCTGCTGTGAAAATGGACACGGTCACACGTTCCCTTTCCCGGCCTAGCGCCAGGGATCCCGTTCAGTAAATAAAATAGTGTATGGGAAACTGAAGAAGGAAAGGAGCAGGTTGCCCTGACTGGGCTGATTCCATTTTTAAAAAGAACAGGAACTCCACCTTACACTCTCGGCGGACTTTGAACTGCATACCTGGGGAGCCATAGAGATGAAATACCAACAGCCAAGCAGGTCTCCCTGGAGGATAAAAACCAGACTAGGCAGACCCCGTACCTAGACCTCCCGGAGCCAGAAGGAACGCAATGTCCACGATGTAATCTTTTTTTTTTTCTTCTTCTTAAGAGTTTTATTCTTTTTTCCATTTATTTTTATTAGTTGGAGGCTAATTACTTTACATTATTGTAGTGGTTTTTACCATGCATTGACATGAATCAGCCGTGGATTTACATGTGCTCCCCATCCCGATCCCCCTCCTACCTCCCTCCCCACCCCATCCCTCTGGGTCTTCCCAGTGCACCAGCCCCGAGCACTTGTCTCACGCATCCAACCTGGGCTGGTGATCTGTACCACTATGTAATCTTGATAATACTTATTGATGTAGACTGAACTCTATGTCCAGATAGCTTTAGAATGTAAATTTATGGCTGGAACCTGATTGTATCTCTTACTAACATTGTCCAGAGTGGACTTTAGAGAATTTGGAGATGTGGGCTTGGGCACGTACTCTTTGTATAAAAGGTCTTCACCAAGTCGGTAGGGGTCCTTGGCTAAGGAGGAAACTCTTCCTGGGACCCGCCATGTAATAAACTGCACTCCACGATCCAGGCTGTCCTTCTGAGTGAGTTTGCTTCCCAGAGCGTTTGGCTGTAACAAAACTGCTTGGCAACTTCAAATAGTGCTAAACACAAACTGCTTTTCCCGCCTCTGAAGGAACGCGGGTCTGAAGTGTATTAACATAATCACCATTTTAAGCGTGTGTGATACATTATCCTTTAAAAGAGTTTTTATGTACTATCACACACTGTGGTGTCTTTTTTTTCTCTTCCTCCTACTCCACGCTCCTGTTAAAAAACAAGCAAACAAACAAAAACCAAAAAACAACACTCACGTAGAGTAAGGTCATCTAGCGGAGGAATTAGAATGATTGTTGTTCAGACACTCAGTTGTGTCCGACTGTTTGCGACCCCATGGACAGTAGCACGCCGGGTTTCTCTGGCCTTCCTCGCCTCCCGGAGCTTGCATTCCAATGTTTAGTCGGTGATGCCATTCAACCATCTCATCCTGCCTAGAATCTTGCCCAGCAACAGGGTCTTTTCCAAAGCACAAAACTGGACACGTTCAGATTGTCTATCAAGCACTGAACCTCAGTAGGACGCGAGAGGGAAGTCAAGAAACTGTATTAAAGTGGCAGGATCAACTAGTCAAGGATATTTGATCTGCATGGTTTCAAAAACCACCTGGCAGCGGTGGGATTCGAACCCACGCCCCCGAAGAGACTGGAGCCTTAATCCAGCGCCTTAGACCGCTCGGCCACGCTACCTACAGAAGGAACCTCTGATCATACTGTATATGATGCTCTCTCCTCCCAGTCCCTCCACACCCAGTGATTCACATATTTATGGTTTGGGGAGGTTCTTCGTATCTACCCCGGCCCCCCCCCCCCCCCCCCCCGCTTTCTTCCTGATCCGATTTGCTTTCTTTCTCCTTTGAAGCCACAGTGCTTGAGATTTATGGGAAGAGTCTTATTGCACAAGAGCGCCTCGAGAGGCCAGACAACCTTTGTTAGCTCTAACGGGTACCGAGAGCCTGCCTGGGCCCGGCACAGTCTGGTCGCCCGGGAGAGTCGGCCCTCCCGGGTCTTGGGGATGCTTTCCGTGGAAGGCGCCACACCGCGAGAGCTTTCGGTCCTTAAGATGCTGAGTCTGGGGTCCTGCGGCGAGAAAGCGCCTGGATCTTCCTAGAGGAGACGCAGAAGCTCGCCAGGCAGTGAGTTTCATAGCTTAAAAGGGAGAGCCAGAAAAGTCCCAGCCTGACCGAACCCAGGAACCAGTCAGTAATGTGCCGAAGCCTGAAGAAGCCTCCCACTTGGGCCCCAGTCTCCCGCCCGCAGCGGACCGAAAACAGATCCCCTCCCCAGTATCACAGGATCACCCTTCGGCCTGTGACTGCCCCTAATTCAATTGCCTACCTTCGTTCCCGCAGCATCTTTGGCTCACTCAGAAGCGAAAACATGCTGCGCAATTATTTTTTGTTGATCCTGAATTTTTTTTCTTAAAAACGATCTGTGGAATAGCAATCCGTAATGTGGACGAGAGTGCAGTGATTTATTCTTCCACTAGGTGTCACCCACGTCCATAGTTAGCAAAAGAAGGTTTTTGCAACTAACTGTAGACGTGGCTAAAAGTTTCTCTACTAAAGTTTGAAATAGAAGGCTAGGTTGTGTGGCTCGTTGGTCTAGGGGTATGATTCTCGCTTAGGGTGCGAGAGGTCCCGGGTTCAAATCCCGGACGAGCCCTGTTTTGTTTTTCCTTTCCTAGTCAGCTGTCTTTCCCTTGTCTGCCTCCCATAAAGCCTCTGATTTGTTGATGTTAAACACCATCACGTTAAACAAGCACCCTATGTAGCTAATATTACAGTAAGGAGCACCATTTTATACTCCACTATTGCAGATTTAAACATATCTTTAGACAAATACTCTTTGTGTTCTTAAATCACGAGGATAAATGCCAGATGTTATTAAGCATATTTCATATAAAATTTCTTGTACAAAATCATTATTTCTAACGTCAAGCATCATTTCTCTTTTGTAGTTTCTTGTTATTAAACAGGAAGTGTTCCTTCAGAACTTAGAGAGGTGGAAATTTTCCTAGGCGGTAAGCCTGTGGCCCACACTGGGTACTGAGGCCTCCACAGCTCAACAAGTGTGACCACGCGTCTTGTCCCAGAAAGCCTGGACTCCCTCCCTCATTCAAACCTAACATTTCAGGGCCCTTGGGTGTGTTAGTAGGCGTGTGGGAGTTTCTGGTAGAGTAGCACCCTGGGAAGGAACTTCTTGACAGGGGTGCTCATACATGCCTGCAAATTAGCCTCAGCCTGTAAATCTGTTTAATCATTCACTGGGGGTCCAACCCCAAACCAATTAAACCAAAGTCTTTGAGGATGGTCATTTCATAACAGATCTTCAAATGTAATTAAGGTTGGCCTGGGAGTTACAGATGCTACCTAGTTGTTCTACAGGCCACAACTAGAGACCACGCCCAGTATCCTAGCAAAGAGGCATCCTGCATCCCATTCCACCTGCCTCAGAATCACCCTCTTCCAGCTGGTACTTCCTCTTCACTCTTTAAGTTTAGTTCTGAGTACAATCTTTTCTCTGGGATATGGGGTGGGAGGGGTGGTAACTCTCATCCTCTACACAAGGGCTAGACTCTCAGTTCATGACCTTCATCCTACTCACTCCCTACCTGCTGGATATGCAGTGTTCACATCCCCTTATTTCAGTCAGATGCACTCTGACTCACCTGATGAACAAGACCTAGAAACCACAAGTAATTTTTACTTCACTCTTAATTGTTTTCCTGAGTATTTAACTTATAGTACCTTTTAAGACATTTGGAAGAACAGTAAAACAAATGATCTTGGAATCATTGTTTAGTGCTTTCTCTTGTAACCTATATTCAATCCTGTAACAAATAATATTGTCTGTACCTTTAGAATATTTCCAGAGTCTAAACATTTTTCACCACCTCTACCACCTCTGTACTCCAAGGCACCACCACCTCACCCCTGCGCTATTACAATAGCCCATCAGCAGGCCTCTCTGGTTGGCCCTTGTGTATACTCCCAATGCAGTATAGATATAAACAAGAAGGACCCTATGGGGCCTTCCCAGAACATGCCTTCTGTCATATTCTCTGCCTTAACTCTTCTCAGCAGTACCTAGATAACAGTATTTGATGCATAGTATTTTCAGAGTTGTTTTACAGATATGAAACCACCCGCCCCCCCCAACCAAATGGAAGATGTTAAATAATCGATGACCATGAGCACGTAGACCCCAGCCTCCTGGAGCCTAAGGACTGATACTGTTAACCCCTATGACAATGCCGGTTCCCTCACCATCAGCCAGAGAAATGTGCATGAGCTGATCACGTACCCTATGACCGACCCTTTCCCTCACCTGGCTTTTAAAAATGCTTTGTTTAGGAACTTCCCTCATGGTCCAGTAGTTAAGATTCCATGCTTCCACTCAGGGGTCACGGTTCAGTCCCTGGTCAGGGAACTAAGATCCCATATACTGCACTGTGTGGTCAAAACCAAAAATGCTTTCCTGAAACACTTCTGGAACTTAGACAATTTTGAGTATGAGCCACCTCGTCTCCTTCCATGGCCCTGCAATAAACTTTTCTCTTGCTCCAAACTCCAACATTTCAGTTTGTTTCACCTCACGGTGAGTCAGGCACACAAACTTGTGTTAACAGAGAGAATGATCCTATTAAAACCTTTGTTGTTGTTCAGTTGCTATGTCATGTCGACTCTTTGTGACCCCATGGACTGCAGCAAGCCAGGCTCCTCTGTCCTCCACTATCTCCTGGAGTTTGCTCAAATTCATATCCATTGAGTTGGTGATGCTATTTAACCATCTCATCCCAGTACCATATTGGACACATTCCAACCTGGGGGGCTCATCTTCTGGGGTCATATCTTTTTGCCTTTTCAAACTGTTTATGTAGATCTCCAGGCAAGAATACTGGAGTGGGTTGCCATTTCCTCCTCCAGTGGACCATGATTTGTCGAAACTCTTCACTATGACCCGTCCATCTTGGGTGGTCCTGCAGAGCATGGTTCATAGCTTTATTAAGTTATGCAAGCCCCCTCACCATGACACAGCTGCGATCCATGAAGGGGATTAAAACCTAGGAGAGAGCAGATCATTGCTCTGCTTAAAATTCTTTGATGCATCTCTGTTTCATTTCACATTTTATCAAAACTCCTTGCCATGACTTCAAAAATCTCTACACGACTCAGCCATTTCTCAGACTCCTCTCACTTTTTTGACCTCATCTCCCACTGTCTCTCCTATTGTCAGCTGTGTTCCAACCACATTAGCCTATAGTAGTTCTCAGAAATACCCACCCCAGTGCCTTTGCAAATGCTCTGCTCTCTGCTTTGAATCTTATTTCCTTCATATCTGCATGGCTCAGTCCTGCTTTTAAGATCTCTGCTCAGATGTTATCAGAGCGACCTCTGTATGAAATAGCACCCACCCCCTTTGCTCTCTGCTCCTCTGTCTCTACTGTAACTACATTCTTTGCACGGACCAGCACCTAACTTTTGCTGGTGCTCCTGCTGTTGTTTAATTCTCCCTCCTCAGCCACTAGAATGGAAGCTCCGTGAAGACAGGGCATTGTATTTGTTGTTTTCACTGCCAAAGTCTCCTATTCCAGAGGCTGGAACAGTTCTTAGCACCTAATAGATACTCAAGAAGTATTTGTTTAATAAAGTGTGTGAATTATTTTATTTTATTTATTTATTTTTAACCACAGAGTAAGGTCCTAACTGTCAGATCACCAGGGAATTCCCTGTGTGAATTATTTTAAATCAAAAAGGAATCCCTGGGGACTTCGCTGGCAGTCCCTGGTTAAGACCTTGCGGCCCCAATGCAAGGGATGGTAGTCCAACCCCTGGTCAGGTAGCAAAATTCCACATGCCTTGGGGCCAAAAAAAAAAAAAAAAGAACCCAAAACATAAAACAGAAGCAATATTATAACAAATTCAATAAAAACTTTAAAAATGGCCCACATTAAAGAATATTTAAAAAAAGAAAAAGGAATCCCTGATTCTGGATGCCGAAGGGAATAAGGAGCATGGAGGTTTTGGGAGCTTGAACAGAGGGCTCTTGCAGTGTCGGGTATCTTATGCATGTGCCATCTTCTAAGAAAGCCTGAGAGCGGGCTTTCTGAAATATATTCTTTGGCAGCTCTCCTTGGTCACAGGATGGACCTGCAAATGCTTTCCAGAAGCGTTGAAAGGTTCTCCCACCTGGACATAAAGAAAGGCACAAAGGAGGCTCTCACAACTGTAAATTGTGCCACAGTGTCACCGACTTCTGTAGCAAGCTCTCCCCAGGCAGAGCTGCTGAAGTACAGAGCTGCTTGGGCAAATTCTGAACCACATGGTGTTTTGAGGTCACACTGTAGGGTTGCATTTAGCAGGGCCATTCTGTTAGAGTCTGTAAAATAATGGACTTAATAAGATGAGGAACAAAAGTCCATAAAAGGGAGATTGCAGAGGAAGAGAAAAACAAAAGAAAAGAAGCTGTATAATCCAATAGGACTTTATCAGCTTCACTTGACCAGGTTTCATGATAAGCGATCTGTGACTGTGAGTCAAGGAAACAGTGCTCACATGCAGGGAGAATGCTGGGAGGAGTATTTAAAACAAGAAGTGAAAACCTGTTGATGGTCACAAGATAGGTATTAACAGGCAAAGTGACTCTGTTCTCAAGGGCTATGACCACCAGTTGAAATCTGCCCCCTGTGGACAGACCAAATATTACCATGAGTTTTTCCATTAGGGTCTTGGAGATGATTGATTTAATCTCCTTGCAGTCTAAAATCCTACTGCAGTCCAAAAACCTACAGTCCAGGGGACTCTCAAGAGTCTTCTCTAGCACCACAATTCGAAAGCATCATTTCTTCAGGTGCTCGGGCATCTTTATGGTCCAACTCTCACATCCGTACATGACTCCTGGAAAAACCATAGCTTTGACTATACCGACATTTGTTGGCGAAGTGATAACTCTGCTTTTTAATATGTTGTCTAGGTTTGTCACAGCTTTCCTTCCAAGAAGCAAGTGTCTTTTAATTTCACGGCTGAAGTCACCATCCGCAGTGATTTTGGAGGCCAAGAAAAGAAAATCTGTCACTGCTTCTACTTTTTCCTCATCTACATTCCATGAAGCGATGGGACCAGATGCCATGATCTTAGTTTTTTGAATGTTGAGTTTTAAGCTAGCTTTTTCACTCTCCTCTTTCACCTTTATCAAGAGACATTTTAGTTCCTCTGTTTTCTGCCATTAGAGGGGTATTATCTACATATCTGAGGTTGTTGATATTTCTCCCTGCAATCTTGATCCCAGCTTATCATTCATCCAGCCTGGCATTTCTCATGATGTGCTCTGCATCTAAGTTAAATAAGCAGGGTGACAGTATACAGTCTTGTACTTCTTTCCAAATTTGGAGCCAGTCCATTATTCCATGTCCAGTTCTAACTGTTGCTTCTTGACCTGCACACGGGTTTCTCAGGTGGCAGGTAAGGTGGTCTGGTATTCCCATTTCTTTAAGAATTTTCCGCAGTTTGTTGTGACCCGCACAAGCCAATCAATTCTAAAAGAAATCGACCCTGAATATTCACTGGAAGGAATGACGCTGGAGCTGAAGCACTAACACTTTGTTCACCTGATGCAGAGAGTGACTCATTGGAAGAGACCCTGATGCTGGAAAAATTGAGGGCAGGAGGAGAAGGGGGCAACAGAGGATGAGAAGTTTGGATGGCATCACCGGGTCAACGGACATGGGTTTGAGCAAACTCTGGGAGATAGTGAAGGACAGGGAAGCCTGGAGCACTGCTGTCCACAGAGTCGCAAAGAGTCGGACATGACTCAGCAACTAAACAACAGTAGCTTTCAGATTAAAAATTAATTTTCAAGGACCTCATTACTTTTTGCTGAATCTTCCGTGTGCATTATATGAAGGTGTATCTTACAGGGGAAAAAGTTATATTACTGTCCAGTGAGATGGTGTTGGTGGGGTTAAGCTGAACTACTTATTAAAGTACATGGCATCCCATGGATATACAGGGAAAGCAGAAAATAGAGCTAGCACCTGTTAGCAAAACTCTTGAGTTGTTTCTTTAACTAAAGGTGAAGGTTCAGAGTGACAATCAAAGATTTAAAATCTTCAAGTAGAGGTGAATCAACATTTTTCTTTTCTTTTATTGATCTTTCTGATCTTATGTCCATATGGGGCTACAGGGTCCCACCAAAAAGTATCAAAACGGACTGTTAAATTTTGCCAAGGATAGCCTTTTGATACTATTTTTAAGGGTGAAATCTGGTTCTTTTAGGACATTCACTCTTGGATTTTTCCATTCAGTCCGTATTTAAAGACTATTTATTGAGCAAACATTTGCTGAACATTTGCATTATTCCAGGCTCTGTGCTTGGAACAGAGGTTACTTCAGGGAACCAGACAGATGTGGTTTCTACCCTCATGAAACAATCAAATAATTTTTCAAAAACTGAGAAATACAGTTAATTTAATATATTAGTGATAATAAAGACCATAAAGGAAAAGTATGAGTGTGATGCAAGCAAAACAGAGACTGTTCACTTAGGCTGGGGCTTCTGGGCAGGCTGGCCTAAGGAAAGGAGAAAGGGGAGGGGTGAATGGAATAAGGAACATATGCAGGAACTAGATGTTAAAATCTTGAGTTGAGAGGAACCCTGATGAGTTCAGGGATCTGAAAGGGGGAGTTTAAGGAGAGTTAGGGAGACAGGGAGAGTGGTTTGGGGTGAGGCGACTTCGCGTGGCCTGGTAGGCAGAGGTAAGGACTATGGTCATTATTTTAAGACTTAAGAAAAGTCATTGATACAGTTTAGGTCAGGGAGCGGGTGGTGGTGGAGAGCACAGGCACAGAACTAAATTTGTGTTTTCAAAAGATTCCTGCGGCATAGTACGGTTGACAACAAAGCCATGGAGAACCCCTGTGTCAGCTTTCTAATAAGCAAGCCCAGAGCCCCACATCAGGGAGGTTTACGGATGAATGTGTTTTAGCAACTCTAAAGTTGCTCATTGTTTTTCTCTCGTGCATTCTGCCAACTCTGCCAGCTCCCAGCCACTTCAGAGGAGGTCAGTGAGGCCCGTGGAATTAAGCTCAGGGTCACAGAACTGTTGAGTGGCAAAGCCAGTGTAAGGAGAGGAGCACAGCTTTCGTGACTCTCAGGCCACTGCTCATTTTGCTCTAGCTGGAGGCCTCTGAAAAGGGAGGGTGTTTTTCTTTTTCTTTTTGTTGGTGGTTGGCTTTATTTTTGGTTTTGTTTATTTATTTATTTATAATGTGGAGAAGGCAATGGCACCCCACTCCAGTACTCTTGCCTGGAAAATCCCACGGACAGAGGAGCCTGGCGGGCTGCAGTCCACGGGGTCGAGAAGAGTCAGACACGACTGAGCGACTTCACTTTCACTTTTAAAAAAAATTGCACCTGGGTTCTTTTAGGCTTAATAATGATTGGGGTCAGGAAATCATCATTTGAAGGAATCTTATCTGATTTTCAGGGAAACTGAAATTGACTCCCAAGAGGACAGCAGAGATGGGAGTGGTAGGAAAGGTATGAATGTGCTTGGAGGTGCTGTAGAGGAAAGATGGGTTAATGCTCCTTCCTCAGCGTGGACTCAGAGGAAACTGTTCAGGGCTCAGCCTGGGGACACACATGAGGAGTCAGGTACATTATGGTCAAAGCTTTCTCAGAAGTGGGAAACAGAAAGGCTTACCAAGTAGCAATTAGATACAGTTAGGGCAATCTCCCCTCAACCTGACCTCCCCTGGTCTACCACT